ATTTTTTCTACATACTTATGCTTAAACACTTCTAAAAAGACTCAAAATTTTATTTGAGGGTGGGCGACTTCCGCCCGGTGACCGGCTTTTGTAATAAACTCATTTGAATGATTTACCTATCATATCTCATAGTACGAATTGGACCAGCAAAAAATTTCCCTTTTCCCTTGTTATGAAGTAGTAAATGAATGTTTTCAGACCCATTGTCAATTTTAAAAGAAGCAAAAGAGGCTTGCCTCGTAATAAGTTTGCAGACTGCTTAATACAAATCGACAAATCTAGGCAACTCACTCGCCTTGGTGTTATGTTCATCAAGGGCAAAGACTTGCCTGGGAATGTCACACTACGGCAATTTGTAATGGAAGTTCCCAAGTGAAGATGTGATTATAGTGTCATATTCAGCTGTCATTAGCAAAAGGCCAAAAAAAAGGAATATACTCTTTGAGTGTCAAGATGCACCATGTGTAGTGATAGATGATCAACTGATGATAAATTTAAAAGATCCTGGCCACTTGGAATCAGATTTGGATAAATCCCATCCTACATTCCAGAGCCCCTTATCATATCGTTTATTCAAAGCAGCACAATAAATTATTATGAAAAAAAGAAATCTCCCGAGTCAAATCAAGTATCAGCACTGAAGAAAAACCATTTGTCCAATTGTACAACTACGCTCTTTAAGCTCCTTCCCTGGTTACAGCAAAAAGCCACTTAAATTATCCATTTTTGGAAGTTTTATGTTAAGTAGTTCATCATAATATAAAGGTAAACTCATTGGAAGCTTCAACACTCTTTCTAAGTTAAATATCATAACACCACCAGTTTAAACAAACGCAGAAAACGAGGTAAGATGTAAATTGAAGTCATACCGAGGATCCGGGGCCTACACGCCTGGCTCGTGCTGCTGTCAGGTCCTGATGAAAATGCTCCAGCTGGCCCATAAAATGCAAGTTGGGACCTGCCACAGGCCGGCGTGTCTGAACAAAGTCGAGCGCCTCCAAAACAGTAAGTCTGCTTGAATGGCGAAGTAAATAGGCCATGACTACGGCTGCAGACCGACTGACCCCGGCCATGCAGTGTACCAGCACAACGCCACCACTGCGACGTGCTTTGTCTAAGAGAACGGAAGTCAGCAAGGCATAATAGGGCAATGGATTGAAGAGAAAAGAGTGATGTGAGAGGCGTGGCCAAGAGGATATGATATATTCACTAATATGTCAATAACCTGTAAGACGCAAATGTTGTATCAATTAAAGTGCACATGATTACTATATATAAGCATTTCTAGTGTGAATTAGATATCGTATAGGCTGCAAGACTCAGGTGCGGTATATTGGAAGTTGGAGCAGAAATAAGAGATAGGATTAGTAATAAGATGTGAATAATTACGATGAATGCCAACTAACAAATACTCAGGCTAATGTGAACTCGACAAAAAGCAACTCGAAAATTCATTTTGTCTGTTTTATTTTAATCATAAACGAGGCGCGACGAAGTTGCTATTAAAATGGCAATGACGCAACATAGAGAAGCATTGTAGTATCATTTATGGTACATATATTAATTAATACTACATGTGAGTGCTTTACATATGAGAAGGTAATCCGATTTAAAATTAGCGCTTGGTAGTGCAAGCTGCTGTCTTTAATTTACAGACTATTTTTTAAGGTAAAGCAAACGCATAAGTGTGAATAAACAGTTACATCTCATGATTTTGTCGAGATAATTCAAAA